ACTTTATGACGATGAGGATAGTTTTCCTGGACTAAGCCAAGAGTTTTTACGGTTAGGTGTTTCGTAGTAGATCCCCTTTTCATCACCAGTCACAATACGCCACAGCAAACTTTTTTTTATTCGCCCGGCAAGCAATAAAACCGCGATCGATTTTTTTGTCCAACCCGATGTTTGATCGTCCAAGACTTTTTTGTCATTGACATCAAAATCACGATTGAAATATTGGCCGACAATTAGGATATGACGCAGGAGCATCACCATAAGCTTCTACAGGTGTTTAGTGGGCTTCGCCAGCAGTTTTCTTCAAATCAAGCATGAAAAGCAATGAATATCGAAAATGCAATTTTGGGCGTTCCATGATTAACGTCTGTGTACACCGAATATCGCAACAACACTAAATTAAAAACTAAGGTTAAAATCATCGAATTTGATCGTAATGTACACTGGCATTTCCCACTTCTTTATAATTTTTACCTGTAGAACTCGCTTATCAAAATATATATAACCACCTAATATAATGTACATGAAGCATAAAAACTTGTATAGATTCATTTACGTATGCATGTCGGAATTTGCTTATTAAAAGATTTATTGTTTGGCTTCATTAATTTTCTTCTACATTGTTGGATAAAATCCGAATATTTAATTTACAACGTATCGCTATTACGTCCTTTGCAATAAATAAACATAACATATTTATTGTTGAAGTGTGAAACATTTAAAAATATCTACTAAACTGTCTTGAAACCGAAAACTAAAAAAAAAAAAAAAAGAACGTAAACTAAACAAATATACACACTCTTCATTTGACTTGGGATCAATTCAAGATGTTCATTACATTTTTTTTTTTTAATTTTGATTTTACCAAAGCTCTTTTATGGTTTCTGAACACAACTAGAATCTCCGACAGTTTACTGCTTTATCTGTAATAATTTACATTGTTGGCTCTGCATTTGAATGAAATTTCATTTCGGCGGGCGTTTCGAATTTCGATTTATTTGAAGAAGAAGTAATAAAAACTGTAGAAAGTAGGAAAAATTGTGATCGGATAGAAATAAGAAAAAACTAACGAATAATATTTATATATTTGCACATATTGATAAAATATATATATATATATATATATATATATATATATATTATGGAACACATCTTCCGAGATTGTCCAAATCACGGTCGCTTACACAGGATTAGGTTTGTAACAGATTTTCTAAATGAAACATTTTCATCAATTTCCATACACTAACGCCACTGAATAGACGAACAACTGTTGAGCAAAAATAGGTAATTTGTTGAATCCATATTTGTATAAGCCAGAAAAGTGGCTTGTTTCTGTCCAATGGGATATGCATACCGTTTGGAAGTATCCTCTGTATAAGAAGACAAAATAAATAGACTAACAGCTGAACAAGATATGGAAGTCACCAATAATGTGAAACAAGGAGGATATATTGGGTAGGAACTGTACAACAGAATGAGATGCAATGAAGACGGCTATTGCAAGGGGAACTTGTGAGGAAAAAATTTCTTACCATGATGCTGGCGACTTTTCAGCGACGGAGTGTAGAGACAAAAAAGTTGTTATTTTGTTGTCTACTTACATTAGCTCGCAACACGTAAACAACATCTGTCGATGTGATAAGCGACTATAGCAAAAGAATGATATCTCCTATCCAAAAATAATGGAATGAGAGGAATGAACTTAATGGATAGCTACTTGCGTCGCTAGCAGTGTCGCTATAGATGTCAAACGCCGCAAATGGTACCTTCGCCCATTCTTTCGTCTATTGGATACTTTGCGTATACCTATGAAAAAATTAGTAATGGCTCATTACAGGCCAAAAAAACCTAGAGAGTCATCTTATTTTTTGTCGCCTATGGATGTATAACAAGACGCCCATGGTCTAAATTCCTCTATGTAACAGCATCACGTAGTTGTCGTGGAACAAGTGCAATGTTTCTTGATGTTTAAACGCCAAAAATATTTTGTTAATGGATTTTCATATTTTTTAACGTAATGAGAAGTACTCTATTATTGTATGCAGTAAATTTGTAGAATTCAACGAGCGAGTTCGCATGACTATGTAGAAATAGAACAATATTGTTTTTCAAAATTAAAGAAGGTTTGTTTACAGTTTCTGTTTATTGAAAATAAAAATTCTTACATGTAAGGGTTAAATATATAGATAGATTAAGGAGGAAAGAAACGGCCGTTTTAGCACATCTTATACTAACATATATTTTACGAACGTTTTTTATTCCACACATTCTTCGGTAGAGAATTACGTAACATAAAACATTCTTTGTCGGACCTCCGATTATTATATGATCTAGATCACTTTGCCTAATACAATTTCACATCTAGTTTTGTTGTAAAATATCAAAAAATATATATGTTGTTGACTTGTAAGGACCTGTTCTTTATGAGAAACCTTACGCGGCGAGATACACATACCTGCCATCGTAAATTTACATGTCAAATCCCTATTTTCCCTCAACTGTGATCATGAAATATTGAAACTAAGCAGATTTATATAAGAAAAGTGTTCAGAAAATAGCCACGTTTCAAAAAGCTCATCCTATATAAATTTGTCGTATTCATTTAGTATGTGAAACTATTACTCTCACCTCGGTTTGGTCGAGCAAAATTAAAAGTGAAAAAACTTTTCATATAACGACCTTTAAAATGAACAGATTGAATAAAAATAAATGGGCGGGCATCAGACAGACGGACAGGCATTCGGACAATGATTCTCGATCGATTTGTATAATAAAGTCAATATCACTTCCAAGTTGTTTTCACTGTCGTAAACATCGTCAATAGATTAACATATCACAACTTGAGCAGGGCATAAAAACAGTAAAGAGAATTCAGAATATTCATCTTAACAAAAATTTTGAATTTGTATTAATTCAGTCTATTTTTTTTTTTCTGCATTTGTGTCATTGGAGTCCAATTTTTTTCTATCAGTTGCTGCCTTCAACTGTGGGTTGTTAATTAAACAAAAGTTCTCACAAGGCTTTGGCTGTGCCGGAAGTATTTTGAAGTTTTATATAAGTGCATGTGTCAATGTTTAGGTTTCAATTTCAATTTCTGACGCTAGTGAAAACTAAGCAAACATATATACATTTTAGAATTTTTGATCCTTCAACTGGTTAAACACTATTATAAAATCGTTGAAAAATGTTTCGAAGGCATTGAAGGAAAAGTAAACTTTCTGATAAGAAGAGGTAGAACATCACTTTGACTACATTATCTTGCATGCCGGTGAAATACAGAAGCAAGGCTAAATGGTTAAAGAAAATATTTACAGCTAAATTGATTTAATTCATCCTCAGACTTGAACGAACATTTTTTTTATGTGGCTTCATCAATACACCGTATATGTTGCCGTATTCTATCTATTCTATAGCCGATCTCTATCTAGGCGTTACTAACGGAATGATAAATATATTGTATCTGTTTTCTTACGGATATGGGTATAGAATCTATAAAAAGCACAAACATATGTGCAAAATTTGCAGTACTTGAAAGCAGAAAATTTTAAAGCATCGCGAATGCATATCCAATCAGTATTTGAATCAAACTATGTCTCTTGGAAAACAACAGCAATAACAACAACAACAATATTAAAAGCAATAGTAATACTAACGAAAAATGCACATTCACAGATGAACACATTTGCATGCATATATTATATAGCTCTATAAACATAGACACACACTTACACGTCTGCAGTTGATGGAAATGACGTTGGGGTCAGAAAAGATTTCGTAATACTGTTGTTTTCATGCAAAATATAATATATACACTGTATATGTATGTATATTGTACACATATACATCATTTTTAATGCATTTATATAATGTCTGTCATAGTCGTCTATGCGTCTGTTTTATTGCAGTTGCTTGATGCTCATATCAAGGATGCTGCCAATTGAGCTGAATAATCAATCGAGGAATAATTCATATGCTATGCGTGCGATTGTTATTAAATAGTTAGTATTGTATTGTTGTTTTTGCCGTTGTTATTACTGTTTGTTATTACAAGTGTTGTTTTAGTACTCATTGTTATTATAATGCCATTGTTTATAGAAAACAGTTTACGAATTATTTATTTGAAAGATTTTAAAATCTAAAGAATTTATCAGTTATCGCAGTTGAAGTTAGAAAGAGGTACGATAAAACAGCAAGCACACAAATAAAATAAATATGAATAAAACAAACGAACGAATATAGAAGAAAAGATTCTTATAAATATCCCAAGGTATGTGTAAAGAGATTATTCAGAAAGTTTCAATTTTATTCAATTAAAAAATTTAAACTAATTAAATAATTACTTGCTAATTTTAAAGCAGTTTCTTATTCACATTACAGATGTATGTGTTTAAGTATGCTGTGGACATTTGGCTTTGACTTTGACTTAGTTTAAAAAGAAAAGAACCGAATATACCGAAGTATTTCGATTCGTTTTCCCTTCTCTCTTACTAGAGTTTCTTAATAGTAAGTAAAAGTAAGAAAATTAAATTCAGTCGGGACCGCATCTTTCATATCCGCCACCGTTATACTAAAAAAGACATGCTCTATAGTATGGAGTGGGCGCAGCTGATTTTTGAACGGACGGACATACTTAATTCGATTTATAATTTGATCCTAATCAAGAATATATAGACTGTGTGGGGTCTCTGATGCTTCCTTATGGATGTTGCAAACGTTTCGACAAAATGAATATACCGCTCATCCTCCCGTGATGGGTATAAAAAAGAAATTATAAAGACAACAAATTACAAGAAAACCAAAACACAAAGCAAAAATTCATCACTGTTTTCGCTGTGTTGCTTTTTCTCTTCTATAAGTTGTTAATTGAAACCATTAAAATAAAATGATTTTTTCGTTGCTCGCTTAGACACGAGTAGATAGTAAAAAAAATGCAACTTATCTTCCAAAATTTTTCATTTTTTGGTTAATTCCTTAATTTCTTTATTGCTCTTGTCACTCACCTGGATTGGTAGCATTTATATGAAATTCGCATATATTTTTCGATCCTTGCGCGAAATCGTATGAATCGGAATCGGTAAATAATATATCGACATCCAATTCGAAGCCACGATTCGGAATACCTTGTTGTAGGGGCGCCGAAAATGGACTCGAATGAAAAGCCACTAACATCTCGGGACCGCTGCAAGAAAAAATTAAGTCAATAGTTTCTTTTTAAATCACTTTTCCAAACCTACGACATACTGGATGTCATTTATTTATAAAAATCTAGTTCTATAGCTTTCAAAAGTTTCATATATACGCCTTACTTGTAGAGTGATTTTATTTTAAAAACGCTTAAGAATTCTACCTATGTTTTTCTGATGAATTTTATATATAACTGAATAAATTTTACTTGCAGATATGTCTACACTAAATATCCGCAGAACTAAATGTAATCATTATTAGCGAAGAGTATAGAGAAATTTTTTTTCTAAATAAAAGTGCGGACTATCTTTCGAATCAGATGCATAGGAAAATTCGTCAGAACAGACTGAATTTACGAACGAATCAAGTTATTTTCCACTGGGATAGTATGCATTGTCTGGAAAAATAAATAAAGGATCTTGCAAAGTGCAAATTAAGGTCGATTCTTTAATCGACCTTAATTAAATCTATTAAACGTTTCCGCCTTTCTAGCATTTTTTTATCTAATTCCATTTTCCAAATGATTGTTGTATAGGGCACTCAAGGAAAGCAATTCTCAAAGTAGTAGCACGCAAAAAGTTTGCTCGTTCCATTTCTGAAAATTTCGCGCACTAAAAACGGGCCGCGATTTTGTCAATCAATCATTGATGAGATCGATGAAATTATTTCAAGAATCAAGAAAGACTGGCACCGCATTTCATCCAACGACATGGCTGCGGCCCTAAACATTGACCAAGAAAGCAGTTTAGAATTTGCTTCTAATAAGGAAGAAAAAGTTTTTAAATTAATATCTTTCAGCCCTATGTCTCAGTTTTTGAATGTGATTAATCCATTTAGGAGTTTTACTGCAAGGATCGGAGATCACTATGATTGGATCGTGATGATGTAAGGTAAAACGTGTGCTTTAAAACTATTCGAGTTCAAAATATTTTTAACTTAATTGATTTGATGTGCATAATTGTAAAGTTAATATTTATACGGGCTGGCACACATAACGTTTTGTGTATATGTGTATCGCTGGGCTAACTTTTTATACTCATAATCATTTTGTCAAAACGAAGTTTTAGAAAGCTTCTATGTATATATTTTTCATTGCTATTAGATTTTGAATAGATCTGGATGTGTTTTTTCGACTGTCTAGTACATACTACTGAAGATAGAAGATGCGATTCCGCATCAAACTGCGAGTCGCGAATAGGGGAAAAATAAATTTCCTTTCATTTTTTTTTTTTTTTTTTTTTTGGTGAACTTTCCCACCGATGCACAGTTTCAATCATCCATCCAAAATATTACTGCAAGTATGTAAAAATTAAAATATTTTAAAATATTCCTTTGAATGACTCATATTGTGTAGCAGATGTTATATTGTCTACATTACATGGAATGGCTTTTCTGAATAAAAATTCTTATCGGATGTTTTTATATTGGCAGGCGGTGACAGACGCCAACCACATGAACGTAATGTTTTTACGAATATTTTACACTCAATTTTATTACTTTAATCGAGCCTTCACTGTTCCCCCCCTTATTAAGCAAAGTTTTCGTTTTGCATTCCTGCACAAAGGTGTGGAGTCACCTAAAAATCAGTTCGTTTTATATGTCAATACAAGCATGAAGACCAAAAAATTAACACCTTAAACAGGTTTCGACAAAATTTTCTGATTAAATTGTGTATTTCAACTACTGCAAAAGAATTTCATTCGATTTCCAGTGAAGCACAGAACACAAAAAAAGATAAAAAAAAGAAAAGTAAAACAAAATTCCAATATATTTTTTTTTAAATTTTTTTCATAAATAATTCATTGAAATCCTTTGAATAAGATTTTCGCTGGATGTACCGCATTGAAAAAATAGAGCATAGAAATAGTAGTCAACGCACACACCAATCCATATGCGCAATACATAGATAGCCAGCGCGTATACATAAAATGAAAACTTTATTTTCGGTGTGAATTTGAAAATGTAGTAAAATAAGAAATGGAAGAGAAATAAAAAAAAAAAAAAGAAAAAAAAAAATAAAATAAAACTTCGAGGCAGTTATACAATCACACACACATGTAAAAAAACACATCGCAAGTGAATATAAACATATTTCACATGTATATAGTTTGTTCGTTTGCTTTTACATGTGCATTTAGAATAACTTGAAAACCAAAAAGTTTACAGCGAATGTGTGGAACACATTTAGTTACAACAACAATGACAAGCAAAATATAAATAAATAAATGAAAAAAAAAAAAAAAGAAGAAAACCCATGCTTCGTCAAACTCTCTTCCACCGCGCTTTCCATTTCCCTACATTTGTTTTTCGTTATCATTTCCACTTTTTCCGTTAACAGTTAACAGGTGAAACGAACACAATCACGAATAAAACAAAACAAAAAAATCGTAATGTAAGTGCAACTTTTGGTTGCCCGAAAACACAATAACAACACCAAAATAAAAAAAAATCGCCAACTAAGACTTAAGCAAACACTTAGCAGGATTTTATTGTGTGCCGTTGTTGTACTATATTGTTGCAATTGCTCTTGCTCCAATCTATTGTTGTTATTGCATTCGCCATATAACACAAAACTTTACGGCTTTATTTACGTTACTGGTTGCATTGAGTGCGAATACCCAGCTTCCTGGATCTCAATACACGCGCGCACTATATATCGCATATCTTTGCTGTACATAAGTCGGAATCTACGTATGAACTATGCATATGTGCTATTTTTATATATTTATATATATATATATATATGTATGTGTGAAATGAAATCGAACGGCGTTTTGTTTAAAGTTCGCATTGCAACACATAAAGTTACTCTAGAATGGATCAACTTTGTTGCCGAAGAGCAGCAATATAGTAATTAATTCACCGCATTTATTATTTTCAAAATTTCTTATATAGCATATACAGGGAGTGTGACCAGCCTAGCGTTACATATTTGTGTCAGTTAAAAAAAAACTGAGCATCCTTGGGCTGTGATGGATGCTTTCCTCAGTAGATCGTGGCGAAACACGCGTTAAGCCAAGCCAGTGACTGCTTTCACGTCATTTCTTTTGTTCGTGTTGTCAAAATTCGATGTAACATTGTAAAATCGTATTGTCTCCTTACAAGAAAACATATTCACAATTACATACATCTCCTTAAAGATTTTAAACAAACGAATAAGAATATCTCGTATATTATATTTAAATGCAAATATTTTCTCATAATTAGGTGAAATTACACAACACAAATCTATATATCTTTGCCATTGCACGTTATCTTTCATCTTTATCCGTCATCTCTCAAATGAATGTGTAAACCTTGAGTAGTGTATTATTGATTGTGGGTGTATTAGTCACTTAATCGAAATCGTTTTTACACTCATCTCTTACACCATCCTCGCGAAAGGATCCTTCCAGGCATTGTGCCTTCTGTGTTCTAGTTTTTTGTAATTTTTGGTAGGCGTGCTTATAGATTGACTTTACACATTTTGCGTTTTTTTGTCTTCTTCATTTTCACAAGAACTTTTAGACCGTCCCAGTGATGAAGAATTTTTATGTGCTAAGTGATCTCGTTAGCGCGTATTTTTGATGGACCCATTTTACACATTATTACGGAAAATTCGCCGTTCACGATAGCTTCCACAGCTTTTCAGATGTTATGAAAACACATACCCCTTTATTCGTTCAATTCATTATAACGTGGTCTATAATTTGCAGCTAACTAATGCTAACGAATATTTCTTAAATTGCTTAATATTCACTGCAAGCGCATGGTATTCAAGATTCGCCCTAAGACGTAAATGGAACTTTGTTTTCCGTAAAGGTACTTAAAAACGCTTTAGCTCAAGTAACATCAAAGAAAAAAAACAAAATAAAATAAAACTACAATAACTACAACAAAATGGAATTGGAAAAAAAAGAGAAAAGGGGGGGTGGGGGGGGGGGAGAAAGAAAAAAACCCCAATTCCATTGTTTGATGTCAACGTCAAAACGCAATATGTTCTTAACTGTAACCTAACGCTTTCGTAGATATTTGTAGGTGTGGTTTAGGTTGATGTGTTGGTATTGCTATTACGCTGTATAGTTGTGCGCGGCAAGTTAGAACAATAGATTCATTTGTTTGAAATTTTAACCAGACGTAATCGTTGAACCCGTATACAAACATTAACACGAAACACAGGGCCATACTCGCGCATATACACAAACTTATATGTATATGTATGTAGGTTTTGCTGTTACGAGTTGCACTATAGTGTTTCCGTTCAAATAAACCATTAAATGCTTGGAATGCGTGTAAATGATTTATCGAAAAGAATTTAAGAGAAGAAAAAAAAAAATTCTTAAAATTGCTTAACGTATTATTAAACAAGACATTAAGATGAAACAAAATGCGAATCTAAATATTTTTGATATATTAATTAAAAATATGTCAAAAATGTCTTCTCGTTCCTTAGCTGATTCAACTTCTGTTTACGCAAACTATTTGCAGGATATCAATAATTTTCAATACATTCTCAATCAATAATCAATATATTTTGGATTTCGGATCAATATATGCCCTAGATTAGAATATTGAAGCTAATTCAGTTTTTTTTCAATTATAGGTTAGAATAAGTAGAAGAAACTTATTTTAAAACTTTTTCTCTGACTTTGCAGTGAAACTCTTCGCTTTTTGCAACTTTGAACATGCTACAACGTAAAGAAATCGAAAGTCAAAACTTTAAATGTTACTTAAGTGAATGAGAATCTCAAATGGGCCATAAATATATTTGTAAGTGCCGCAACTGACAAGCACTACACAATTACCATAAGGCGGCAGTTAAAACTATGAATTAATTTTAAGTCCAGAGTTTCGATCTTGTTCATAACATTAGAAAGTGAAGATGTATTCGTTCATAATGGATCTTTCTATTCCTGCAGTCATTGCTATTTTTGCGATGCACAACAATATCAATTATCAATAAGAGTTTGTTCTTTATATGTTTGATATCAACATCCAGATTCGGCCACCGCAGTT